TACAGAAACCTTTCTTTGTGTTTGAATGCTTTAACAAAGCTGAAATCAATCTATTTTTCTAATTTTATCCCAAAAATGTTTGCGTTAGATAATACTACCAGAGAAAAGGCCTGTTGAGGGATTATTTTAGCTGAGACCTGCTGGGATGGAGGATTAAATGCAGGTTGAGGCATAAAAAAGCAGCCGTTTCCACTCAGACTGATGTTTGCTCAGAAAAACAAATAGCTGACATCATTCTCCCCATTCTGACTCCAGTCAAAGGCCTTTTCTGTCCCGTCTGCTTTAACACGGACATGATGGGTTTATTTAAACACGTATATGTAAATATATTAATGTCATATATATTTTTTTTTTAATCTTTGAGTTTGTCTTGTCTTGTGTTAATTGTGATAATTGTGTTTTATGATAAACTCAAATGACCTGTACAGCGCTTTGATTTTAGCTTTGGCTGACTGAAAGCGCTTTATAAATAAAGTTGAGTTGAGTTTATAAAAATATAAATAATAATTTATATAAAATTGTATTGATATAATTTATAATAATGATAACAATAATACTACTAATAATTTATAATTATATATTTATATCTAAATATATAAATGAATATTTAAACTAGCCCAATGAGATGATTAGCATTAGATTAGTGATGACTCAGCGTTTCCTGATTTGATGAGTCAGCTTTTCCTGTTGCCCACAAGTCAGAATTCCTGATCCCATGAGTAAGCGTTTCCTGATTCCATGACTCAGCGTTTCCTGATCCCATGAGTCAGAATTTCCTGATTAGATGAGTCAGCGTTTCCTGATTCCATGACTCAGCGTTTCCTGATCCCATGAGTCAGAATTTCCTGATTAGACGAGTCAGCGTTTCCTGATCCTATGACTCAGCGACTCTGATCACGAGTCAGCATTCCTGATCCCATGAGGCAGCATTTCCTGATCCCATGACTCAGCGTTTCCTGATGCCATCACATGCAGAGTCGTGAACTAAACTCCCTCTCAGGCTGTCAAAAGCTCAGTTTGACATCAGAAAATCTGCTGAGTCATGTTTAAAGAGGGTTAACTTCAACTCATCAGACAGGATGAAGGAGTCCAGTTCAAAGGAAAGAAAGAAAAGCTGAAACGTGAGATCAAAGAGAAACAACAAAAGCTGAACCGGCCCTTTAAATCAAACACAAACCGGTTTTCCATCCGATTTCTCACATTTCAGTCGGATTTATTCTAAATAACAGACTCAACAGTTTAATTCACTAAAAACGGAAGAAAAAGGTGTAAAAAAACAGGAATTGGTTATTGATCAGAGCTCCTGTTGTTGATCAACTCCACCAGAGTCCAGAATCCAGACCTGGATCCAGACCTGGATCTAGTTCTGATCCTTAATGGATGAAGGAGCCTATCAAAGTCTGAAGACCTCAGAGGCCAGAAGGAGACCCCCCCCCCCACATACACACACACACGGGACCAGGACCAGGACCAGGACCAGGACTAGAGAAAGGACCAGGACCAGGACCAGGACCAGGACTAGAGCCAGGACCAGGACTAGAGCCAGGACCAGGACCAGAACCAGGACCAGGACATTACAGAACCAGGACCAGAGAAAGGACCAGGACCAGAGAAAGGACCACGACCAGGGACCGGCACCAGGACCAGGACCAGGACCAGAACCAGGGAACCAGGACCAGAGCCAGGACTAGAGCCAGGACCAGGATCAGAACCAGGGAACCAGGACCAGGAACAGAGCCAGGACCAGGAACAGGACCAGGACCAGGACCAGGACCAGAGCCAGG